TAAGTATTAATAAAATGAAATGTATTTGATGATATGAATGATGAAATGATATAATCAAGATATATAATCATTAAAATTTGTATCATCATTTATTCTTATTTCTTTATTTTTATATCTTCTTATTTTTAATTTCATTCTTAATTTTAAAAATATATTATGATTTGTTTATTTAATTTATTATCATTTTATTATTTATTATTTATTTTATATGTTTATGTTATTTTATTGTATGTTTATTTATTTTATTTATTCTTCTTTTTATTTTCATTTGATATTATTTTGTTATTTTGTATGTTAAATTGTTTATAATTATATTATTATATTATTTATTAACATATTCTATTTATATTTATATTTTATATTATTATTGTTGTATAATTATTTGATTATAATTTATTGAAATGATTTAAATTAATATAAATGAATGTAATTATGAATTAAATAATTTTATATTTTATTATTTCATTTGTTTATCATTCTTCATTATTTGATATATTATTTTATTCATTGTTAATTTATGATTTGAATATTATATTTATCATTTATCATTTATTTTATCATATTTTATTAAATATTGAAATATTCTATAAATATTTTATTATTTAATTTAATTTATCAATTGATACATTCATTTATTTATGTTTTATTCATTATATTCTTTTATTTATATTATTTCTTATTTAAATAATCATTTTAAATATAAAATAATAATAAAAATAAAGAAAGAAAAGAATAAATTAAGAATGAATAAAAATAAAATAATAGAATAAATGATTTCATAATTATTTATCATTAATTATATCATTAATTATATTATCATTTATTATAAATATATTGATTATTCATTTATTATTATATTTATTATCTTTTATCATATTTTATTATTATATTATTAAATAAAAATAAAATATAAAATGAAATAATGAATAAAATATAAAATAAAATGAAATATTTAATAATTATAATTTATTAAAAATAAAAATAAATAACATTTTATTTTATTTCTTATTATTTATTGTTTTTCATAACAAATATCAATTAATAAAAATAGAATGATGATAAAGAATAAAAAAGAAGAAATTAAAATATAAAAATAAAAGAACTAATAAAAACAACTAATAAATAATAAAACAATAATGAAATTAGGATATAATGAAATAATGATAACATCAATGTATTTTAATGATATTAATGATTTTATTAATTTAGAAATAGGAATTAAAAGATTTCAAGGAAATATTGAACGATTTCATTTTAATCCAATTCCATTAAATGAATATTCAAGAAAATTGTTTACTAATATTGAAACATTCCATGTTTATGAATATGATGATGAAATATTTAAAGATGGAAGAATATTTAAATATGTAATATGGTATTTAGTAAATTATTCAGAATATTTACAAGAGAAAGAACAAGGAAATATCTGTAAAAATATAGAATATACAAAAAAAGATAGAAAGAAATATGGAAATACAATACCATCAGAAGTTAAATCACTTGGATATGAATGTTTTATATACTGTTATTCATTAACAACAATTAATATACCATCCTCAATTAGTGTATTAGGAAAATGTTGTTTTTATAAATGTTCATCATTAACATCAATTAATATACCATCAACAATTAGTAAAATAGGAGATGGATGTTTTTATGGATGTTCATCATTAATATCAATTAATACACCCAACACCCATTAATGAAATAGGAAGTAGATGTTTTGAATACTGT